GGAGCAGCTCGAAGTCCAGGCTGTTGATGAGGGTATCAGCTAATCCAAGAAATCCATTAAGCTGATAAGAACAGATTTAAAAAGCCTTTATTATATAAATGATTAAATTATTACAGGAGTAATTATAGGCAAAAGTATAACTAAGTGCGTGTTTACGCATTAAGAAAGACGCGACATGGGCTTAAAAGAATTGCCAACTAAATATGTACAATAATTTTTACAGAAGTAATTAATGCGCGACATGGGCATTTTGTATTGCCAACCAGAGAATGTAGGTGGCGAGACATGGGCTCATTTGCCAGCCAGTGGTGATGACAGAGTAGTAGTAAAGGTTACATCGTGATTACATGGGCATTTGTCGCCTACCAATTTGTGATACATTACAGTTGATGTAGTTGTTCTGATATTGGCCGGGGTAAATCGATGGCTGATGGCGCAAGCTATCTCCTAGGTGCTGCCGGTAGATGTAGTTACTCCAACGAATAGCGTCGCTGACCATAAGCTTTTTCATCATCGTGGCGTATCGTCGTCCAATTCCCAAGCGCTGGAGGGTTGCTTCGTTTGAGTTGTCGTATCCTCCAAGCGTGCCGATGATAAAGGTTCCGAAGAACATGTTGTAGCCCTGCCTTCGAAAGTGATTAATAAGACTGGTATACTTACGTTCTTTTTTGTCCCTCGCGGCGTTGAATGCAGTTTGCCATTTTCGAACGGCGTCGTGACGTCTACCACTGTTGCAGACTTAGAGGCTTCATGTATCACGACGAGGTCCGGCCTGCAGTTTTCATCGAAGCCCGGGACGCGTTGGTTAACTAAGACAGTAGAGCCCCTAGGCTGGAAAGCCTTAACAAGTCTGTTAAGGACGGCATTATGTCTTTTAGTCATTAAGTGAAAGTTTGGCGGGCAGTGGCATAACACATGGGATAATGTCTCCCGCATGAACCCACAGCGGCGGCAAGTTTTAGTTTCATTGCCAAACTGCTTGTGCCCACATAGAGCAACAACACTCAGTCTGGCGCGGTGAATAAAGCGCCAGTCTGAGAAGCTGGTGTATTGTCCGTTGTTAAGAAAGTGGTTGCTTACATCGTTGCCAGCAGTTATCTTAAACGCCTTACTTTGATCTGGTTTGGCAGTTAAAGTTTGCAGATGGTGGTATTTTAGGAGACTATCTAGGACATGTTGGCATCCCTTGACGTTGATGGTGCGGTTTTCCGTGGCGATGGTAGGCATGTTGTTCTGGCCACTCACCCAGCTGATGTTGATTCGCTTCCGTAGTCTCCTTGTAGCCATTCTGAGCCGGGTCCACATGGAGGTGATGTCCTTCGATGGATTTCCAAGATCCCCATCCATCGACCTGTCCAGGTAACTGCAGATGTCATCGATACTAGGAGTGCGTTTGATCCTTGAGGCCACGACGTCGTGTAGAGCGCCTAGTGCTACCTGAGAGATATTATCGTCTTTAGAATTGAAAAGATGTACAGCATGACTCACCTGTGCGATGTCTGCTAGAAGACTGGATGATGTCACGTTTGCGCCCCCTGCTTGTACGCAAGGTACACAATTTCGGCGCTGGCGTGTTGTGGCACACTGAGCCAGCGTTTCACATGTCGCCTGATGGTCCTGTCAATCTTGTCAAGGACCTTTTTCGGAGTCGTTCCAGTAGTTAGGCAAAAGGTGAGCCTTGGCATGATGAATGTGTTAAGTGCATCAATTTTTTGCCAAGGCGCAAGGCGAGAGGCATCTAACTTACTGACATCTTGTAGTACATTGTTTGTAGTGGCCGCTTCCGTGTCACATCTGGTAAACTCAGTGGGGACGCCGAGATGTTTGTAGGCGTCGTCGTTGCCAAGGGTAGGGAGAGCTTCGTTGTCCAAAGTAAAGGAGTTAGTGCCTGAGGTGTGGGCTTTTCCTAAGATGGAAAGAGTACCACATTTGGCGTGATTAAAGCGTATCCCAGCCCACTGGGCCCAGGCGGCGATGGAATCCAGCTGGTCTTGAAGCCCTTGGCAGCTACTACTTACCAGGGCTATATCATCGGCATACGCTAAGGCATCTACTGTGTGGTTGTGGATGCTATAGCCCTTACCAAGAGACTGGAGGCGTCAGAGATCAGGTTCTACTGTAAGGATAAACAAAAGGGGGCTAATAGGGTACCCCCGACGGACCCCAGATAGCATCTCAATGGGCTCAGTGAAGCCTGTGCAGGTGTGGACCTTGGTGGTGAAGCCAGTGTAGAGTTGCTGGATTGTAGAGATGGCATCGGGGTGAAGGCCATGCCATCTGAGTGATTCCCAAATAATAGCGTGTGGGATACTGCCAAACGCATTGGCAATATCCAGCCATGCGATGAAGCACTCCTTGCGGGCCCTCCTCGCATCCTGAATAATGGATTTCAGCAAGAAGTTGTGCTCCACGCACCCCTGATATTGTAGAAAACTTTTCTGCGATGTTGTAATCCTGTCGTTAATGCTACACCATTTGAGAAGCCTGTCTGCGAGACACGCGGTATATAACTTCCCTAGCGTGTTCGAGAGGCATATGGGTCTCCAGTTTTTAAGATTAGATTGGTCACCTTTTTTGTGAATTAACACTGTCGTGGAGACACGCCAATCTAGCGGGACGTAGCCAATCCTCTGGACGGCGTTGAAGATAGCCGCAAGAATGAAGCCATTTGGATCCACTCGTCGCCAGTGAAGGTAGCGGACTTTATCCGGGCCAGGCGCGGTGTTGTGGCCCTTGGCTATGCGGGTCGCAACTTCCTTTGGAGTAAAGTGCATGTTGATGGGATCAGATGTGGCGGGGGCTGGATCCGGGTCAACGGGGACGTTGGTGGCTGTGGTGAGAGAGCACTTACCGTTGATATTCTTGAAGTGCTGGTACACGGTGGTAGGCTCCACTTGACAGAAGCGGGTGTCGCCCTTCACGATCCGGTCGAAAGCGCGTTTCCTGTTCGTTCGATACAGGCGTTGTATTACGCTAGCTTCCAGTTGGTGCGGGGGGTTATGGGCCGAGTTGGTGTTGTGGTGTCTTCTTGGGCCCTGTATGTTGCATATATTTTACGTCAGTTGCATAAAGTCCTGTAAAACTACCTCAAACATGTCCTCATCAATAATCGCATTAAATCGCTCGACCCAGGCTGTGACCCATTGTGGCGGGCCTTTATCAGCTTCTCCCTGTGGCTGTGTTGGCTGAGGTGGTTGCGATGAGCTGGCGGTTGGAGCTTGCAGGTATTGGTGCCTTGAGGGATCGTCCGTGTTACCAGAGGTTACTGCCGAGGTTACCGCCGATTGGTCTAAAGTGGTAGGTAGAGATTGATTAGGTATAGAGTTATTCAAAGATGTCCTACCTGGCGGTGTCGATGATGTGTCTCCTGCATGTGGAGGGTCAGGCTGTGGCAAGGTGGCAGAGTTCAGGTCGTCCTTTTCACTGGGTGGGGGCGACGTAGGGGTGTGTTGCGTTGATAGCCTTACCTTCCTCCGTGATTTGTTGCCCTTAGGAGCAGCAAGCTGCGGGGTGGTGCCCTGGTTGGGCCTTTGGCTACTAGGCGTAGAAGTGGTTGGTGACCTAGGTGTAGGTACGGGTTGTGACGGGTGGTCTTCCTCAACAACGACTTGGAGGGACCTTGTGGTTCTCCTCCTTTGTGGCGCTGCACGTCTGGCTGGTGGAGATGGAGATGTCGAGTTCCAGGATTCGTTGTTGCTGCTAGGAGGAGAAGTCGGCACTGCTTTCGATTTTCTGCGGACATATTTTTTCCTCGGCCTCGTTGGAATACACACCTTCTTGCGATCTGCCGGGAGTGGGGGCGGAGGCGAGCAGGCTTCTATCCTCACACGGCAGTCATCTGCCTCGAGTTGGTGGGCTTTGATTACCTTAAGCTTGTCATGAGTATAGCCGCAGGCCCGGCACTCGAACCGGAGGGTGGTGCCATGGACGTGCTTAAGGTGCTTGACGAGGCCAGCGTGATCCGCATAATTGCGGGGTATCGCCAAGCACAGCTGACACCCATGTGGTGGGTGCAGAGGGACAAGAACTGTAAGTTCCGTCATAATAGCGCCGATCAAATGTGTAGAATTGTAGATAGGGAGATAGTGGGTGAAGTGCCCCCTGGGGTGCAGAGCAGCCAACCTAGGAGGGGCAGGAAAGAGAAGAAAGATCTACTTAGGCAAGCCTAGGTAGCAGAAGGAGTACACGTTGCGTCGTGACCAGTGATCACGCCGCGACAGAAAAGTGGTTGCTAGTCTGCCTGACTAGCAACCACTTTTCTGTCGAATACACTGTGCGTTTAAACAGTGCAGGCCGCCCTTCCAGCGGAAGTAGGAAGAGAAATAGGAAAGAAGAATAAGTCAAAAACAACTTACCAATCTGTCGGGGAACGAACGGCTCGGAGTCCGGAGGTCATCCTAGCGACGAAGAAATCAGCTGTTAGCAGGCTAATCAAGCTGATAAGAACAGATATGAAAGTCATTTATTGTGAAATAATATATGTACAGGAGTTACTTATGCGGTAAAGAGAAATAGTAGTTACATGGGCTCGAAGCCGGCCAGTTAGATATATACAGGGTTGAAGTAAGGTAATGATTGAGAGGTGTAAACTTCAGTCGCGGTAGAGAGGCGCCATTACACGGGCACTTAGCCTGACAATATGTACAAGTAATGAGTGTGGTGAACGCAGTTTCACGGGCGCACAGCCTGTCAAATTATGTACAAATGGTTATTGGTTAGTGGGCTGGTTGTGATGGCGGCCACTAAGATGTTGTGCATAAATATCACGGCTCCATTTGATCGAGTCGCTCACCATGAGCTTTTTCATTAATTTGGCGTAGTTACGGTTTACGCCGAGTCGCTGGAGTACGCTGTCGTTGGCCGGGTCGTATCCACCCAGGGCTCCTATGACAAAGGCGTCGAGAAAGGTGTCATATCCTTGTCCCCTGAAGTGGTCGGCGAGATCAGCATATTTGGTTGTCTTCTCAGTCCTGGCGATGTTAAACGCTTCCGCCCCGTTCTCAAACGGTGTGGCGACGTCTATGATCGTGGCAGTCTTGGGGTGGTTGGTGGTTGATGACTACCAGATCGGGACGACAGGTGCTCGGGAAGTCTGGAACCTGTTGATTGACATACACCGTGAGGTTCTTGTGGTCGAAGGCTTTGTTGAGGCGGTCAAGAATGGCGTTGTGGTGTTGCATTATCATTCTAAAGTTGGGAGGGCAATGGTTGATAACATGTGCAAGAGTTTCGCGATGTCTCTGACATCTGCGACATGTTTGGCTTGCGTTACCAAACCGACGGAGCCCTCTTAAAGGTAAGACACTTAATCTGGCTCGGTGTATAAACCGACAGTCGGCGAACCTAGTGAAGTTTCCTTCACGAAGAAAGTGGTTACTGTTAGGGTTTGCCGCTGTAAGTTTAAAAGCCTTACCTTGGTTTGGCTTGTTTAGAAGGGAGCGCAGAAATGAGCTCCTAACTGCCGCAGTGATGGTTTTAGCAGCATTGGCCTTGGTGATGGGCTGGCCGTTGATGTAGGGCATGAGACTGTTGTTGATACCGGACTGCCATTCTATGGATATTCGTTTCTTTAGCCGCCGTGTTGCCATGCATAGACGCGTCCATACGGACGGGATGTCGTATGGATCATAGCTGAATTCATCTTTCATTGAACCGGCTAGATAGGTGCACAAGTCTGTGTCTTCAGGTGGTCGCTTGATTCTCCTTTCGACGACAAGTTTTAGTGTCTTTAGGGCCAGGTTGGACACCGTCGCGTCTTTTGAATGGAGTAGGTGTACTGCATGGGTGACTTGCGCTACGTCGGCAAGGATGTTGCACAGGACTATGTTTGCACCGCCCTGGTCGTGAGGCATGTAGATGACTTCTGGACTTGACCGTTGGGGGAGGTTCATCCATTTTCTGATGTTCCTTTTGATGGATGTGTCCAGGTGGTTTAGTTTCTTCTTTTGGACGTTCCCTAGGGTCAGATGGAAGTTTAGTCTAGAAGTGAGGAAGGTACTTACTGCTTCGATTTTCTGCCAGGGGGCGAGTCGTGAGTTGTCAACGTGTTGTAGGTCCGCGAGGATGCCATTTATCACATCGTTGGCAGAGCGTCCTAGTGTGAATTTGGTCAGTACGCCGAGGTGAAGATAGTGGTCTTCTTTGTCGAGACGTGGGAGGCTGGATCCTTGGATGTTTAACTCAGGGTTATCTGCACAGCAGTACTTGCCACTGAGAGGGTGGCGCACTTGGATGGGTTGAAGCAGAGTCCACTGCGGAGGGCCCAGGTGGAGAGAAGGTCTAGTTGGCACTGCAGCCCTGCTACGGAGCTGCTGATGATGGTGATGTCATCAGCATAGGCGAGGACTGAGATGTTGGAGTCGTGTAGCTGGTAGCCTTTGTTCAGGCCTTCGATGAGTCAGAGTGCAGGCTCGACGACTAGATTAAACAAGATCAGGCTAAGTGGGCAGCCTTGCTTACGCCCGCCCGGATTGGTATGGGGTAGGTGTATCCAGCGTTAGTCCTGATGTGTGTGGGGCATCCTGTTAGAAGGTCGCTGATGCGGTCGATGGAGGCTGGTCCAAGTCCGCTCCATTTGAGACACGTGCGAATAGTGTCATGTGGAACGGAGCCGAAGGCGTTTGTGAGATCCAGCCAGGCGACGTGGCATTCTTTGTTTCTCCTGCGTGCGCTCTGGATGGAAGATTGGAGTATGAAGGAGTGCTCAGAGTGCCCTTCGAAGCGCATGAACCCCTTCTGTGTGGCGGAAATGATGTTGTTTGCGCCAGTACGGTGCACGGCGTTAAATATGGCCAGTACGGTGCACGGCGTTAAATAGGGCTGCGAGGATGTGGCCCTGGGGGTCCAGTCGGCGCCAGGTGAAGTACTTGATGGTATCTGGCCCGGGGGCAGTGTTATGACACTTTGAGAGACGTTTGGCGACCTCGGCGGGCGTAAAGATGGCGTTGAGGGGGTCATCTGTGTCCGGTTGGAAAGCGGGGGGAGGAGGCTTTGGAGTGGCTCCTGTGGGATTTCACGAAGACCATTTGTGTTGTTGAAGTGCTCCTCAAGAGTGGTCCTGTTGATCTGAAAGTAGCGTTCTTTGCCCCTGGATATCTCCTCAAACGCTTTACGCTTGTTGGCCCTAAACAGTCGTTGGGTTTTACTGGGGTCTGCGGCAATAGGGCGGTTCCTGCTAGTGTCACTTTGGTATTGACGAGGTCTGTCTTGACGGGGATGGCGGGGCTGTCCATGACGCTGAAAGGCCATGCTCTGGGCCAGGTCGGTTAAGTCTCGGACTATGGTTTCGAGCATGTCCTCGTCGAGGGCACAGTCGAATCGCTCGCACCAGGGAGGGGGGTCGGAACTGGTGGTATCCGGGGCTGTAGGGATGATGTCAATAAGGTTAGCGGTGTTACCAGTTTGGTGGGTTGTAGGGCCCGTCTGACTGTTCCTGTCAAGTTCGGCGTTGTGGTCACTGGTAGTGGGTTGGTCGGCTAACGTTGGAGTTATATCCGGGCCGTCTGGGCTGGTTGGAGTGGGTGGTGTGCTGGTCTGATGACTTGGTTGCCTTTGCCACCGCCTACGTGGCCGTCTCACGAGGGGGGAGATAGGCGAGGTGTTGTTTGTAGTGTCTGTCAGAGGATGGAGCTGCTCGTTGCTAGTTCCCACTGGGGTGTGGGTGCTGTTGGGCAGGCTTGCTGGGCAAGGTGGTACTGGTAGCTGGTTGGCTGTAGGGGGTTGGGAAGAGTTACTTACCTTGCTGCTACTGCTAGCCAAAGCGGCAAGATAGGCTTCATCCAGTCCATACTCCCTCTGGCGTCGGGATTTGTAGGGTTTACGGGGTCCGGCTTGTATGCGTCCTCATGGCTTGGGGTCCCTAGAGTTGCTTGGAGACATGGCGGGGAACATGTTTGCACAGTTCGGTGCTTGAGATTGGTGGCGCTTTATCTCCTTGAGCTTCTCGGATTGTTTTCCGCAGGCACGGCATTCGAAGTTGAGCCGGCCGCCATGGTGGCGCCTGAGGTGCCGTGATAGGCTCCCGTGGTCGACGTAGTCTCGGTAAATAGGTAGACATGCCGGACAGTGATACGGGGGCGTAGAGGGACCAAGAGTGTGACATTGGTGGAGTTAGAGGAAGTCGCCATAGATCGTATGTGTTGTATGAGAAAGTAGGAAAGGAAGAGTGAAGCGCCCCCTGGGGTGCAGTGCAGCCAACCAAGGAGGGGCGTGAGAAGAGTATAGACTAGTACAGGAGCATGCCCCCGTACTAGGGTAAAAAGGATAGAGCGCTACAAGGCTTGGGGGCCGTGGCGCAGAGGGATAGAAAGGTTGCCGGTTGAGCAGCGAATACACGGTGCGTTTAAACCATGCAGGCCGCTCTTCCGGTGGAAGAGAGAAGAGTAAAGAAAAGAGAGAGCTAAAACAACTTACCAGTCGAAGACCGGGGAGCAGGAGCTGGCTCGGAGTCCGGGGAGCTTCGGAGGCTGGTCTAGATGGACATCAGGTGGAGAACCCATCAAGCTGATAAGAACAGAGTTAAAGTGCTTTTATTAATAAATTCTAAATAAAGTACAAGTATGGGGTATTAAAAATGGAATAATACACAAGTGGTATGTACATGTGATTATGTACAGCGCGACATGGGCTCAAAGCCAGCTATATGTAGTAACAGTATTAGATAAATGTCGCGACATGGGCTCTTAGCCTGCCAAAAATACATGGGTACAAGAATACATATTGTTTACGCGACAAGGTCTGTAGTCAGATGTGCGTGGATAGCAATTGTCCATATGTTCAGTCCGTGCAATTATATTTATCGGAGTGTTGAAGCAAGTCTTGTTGGTCGTGGGTTCTGGTAGTATGTTGATCACGACGATTGGAGGGATGTCGATTATTGGTGGCACTTCGTCGACGTTGTTGGTTATGGGTATCTGCTGGAGGTGGTCTTAGGTGTCTGGGAGCGGAACGTTCGTAGTTGAGATGTTGTACATATATTTCCCTACTCCAACGGATACAGTCGCTAACCATGAGCTTAGCCATGGTCTTGGAGTATCTTCTTCCTATGCCCAGTCGTTGGAGGACGGCGATATTTCTGGGGTCGTACGCACCTAGTGATCCAACCACAAACGCATCGCAGTAGGTGTCGTACCCCATGGTTCTGAAGTGTTGTGCTAGGGGTGTGTATTTTTCAATCTTCTTTTCCCTAGCTGAATTGAAGGCGTTATGGCCGTTTTCAAACGGGATAACAACGTCGATGATAGTGGCTGTTTTAGCTTTCTCGTTGATGGCCACAAGGTTTGGCCGGCAGTTGCTTTCAAACTCTGGAACACACTGGTTGCACCTGATGGTAAGATCTTCGTCATTTACGGCGTGGCAAAGTCTGTTTAGCACCTCATTGTGCCGTTCCGTAGCGAGGTGGAGGTTGCGTGTGCAGTGGTTTACTACGTGGGCCAGAGTTTCCTGCTGGAATCCGCAGTGGCGACATCTGGTTGGAAGCTGACCAAATCGGCGGAGACCATGAAGGGGTACCACGCTAAGACGGGCTCAGTGAATGAATCGCCAATCGGCGAAAGACGTGTAGAGTCCGTCGCGCAAAAAGTGATTGCTGGCCGGATGCTGCGCCGTGAGTTTGAACGCCTTTCCTTGGTCGGGTTTACGTAAGAGACGATTCAGGACGTTCTTTGCCATGCCTGTGAGGATTTTGTTGGTCGATTGTCTTGGAATGATGTTCCCTGCTGCAGTAATGGCGATGGTGTCGTCAAAGACAGCCCATGCGATGTCCAGGTTCTTCCGTAGCCATCTTGTGGCTGATCGTAGGCGTGACCATGTGGACGAGATGTTGGCTGGGTCAACGCCGAACTCACCCTCCATAGACCCGTTAAGATATGTGCATAGGTCTTCCAGTGAGGGGTCGCGGCGGATACGCTTCCGGACAACACTCTGGAGTGACTTGGTGGCGATGGAGCGTACCTTGTGGTCTCTGGACGTAAAAAGGTGGGTGCCATGGGTGATTTGGCAGATGTCTGCTAGAGTGCCGCAGGGGGTTATGTTGGCTCCCCCGTGATCATATGGCAAGTTGAAGCAGATTCATCCATTTTTGGCGCAGTTTTTGATACGCCTGTCAAAGATGTGCAGCCGCTTTTTGGGGTTGGAGCCAAGCAAGAGATGGAAGGTGAGCTTGGGCAGCAGCATAGTATTGATGGCATGGATCTTTTGCCACGGGGCGAGTTTTGACTCGTCTAGCTGCTGGATGTCTCTCTCCAAGTTGCTGACTACCTCTTCAGATGTGTGATGTGTGGAAAATCTTGTTGGTATGCCCAGGTAGTCGTAGCTTCCCCCAGCGGATAGGGTTGGGATGTTGATGCCTTGTAGGTTGAAGGTGTCATTGCTAGTGTCATGCTGTTTCCCTATGACGGAAAGGGTTGCGCATTTGCCTGCATTGAAGCGCAAGCCTGCCCAAGCTGCCCAGCTGGTGATTTATTGTCGAGCTGTTTTTGTAGGCCTTCGGCGGTCGGACTTATGAGTACCAGATCGTCTGCGTAAGCCAAGATGTCAATTGGCTCGCCTTCAAGGGAATAGCCAAGCTGGAGGCTCTGGATGTTCCGGACGGCGGTTTCAATGACGATGTATAATAGCAGGGGGCTTAGTGGGCACCCCTGCTTGACCCCTGAGTGGATGGGTATGTCGTCAGTGTATCCACTGCTGGTGCGGATGCAGGTGGAACAGTTCTGCAGTAGGCTGTTGATGATGTCCGTGCTCTCTTCATGAAGTTTGCACCATTGTAGGCACTGAGTGATGGTACCATGAGGCACGGAGCCAAATGCGTTGCTAATATCTAGCCACGCAATATGGCATGACCTATGCTTCCTCC